GCCGGAGTTAAACCACGACAGACAGGTTGTTTCCAGAAAAAACACCTGTAATAGTGATTTTAGCTTTTTCATCTGTACTCATTTCCAGAATTTGATCAAAATTACCCAGAATGTCAGGACTTCACGAGGAGCAGGATGATATCCATGGTATTAGTCATATGGACAGGGAATTAATAGAGAGAGAGAAAAAAACTACTTCTAGGAGAGACAAGGATCTGCTTCCATCTGCAACTGCCTGTGAAGAACCACAACACTCTATTTTAATTCTTAACATCAGGAGGAAGTGAAGGAACTTCAATATTGTAACAAAAGAAAAGATTACCAGGCAAATTATGCCTTTTTCCTTCAATCCCTTTGCAAACACAGTGTTTCAGGGAAAAAGCGGCCACTGCCATCAGAAGCGTGGAGCAGTAATTTTTCCGACACTAGGTGGCATCAACACTCCGGATGCCATGGGTAGCTTCACCTTTTTTCACTAAACCTCAAACAAAGCAAAGAGAACAGATTCTCGCAAAATTAATCAGTTTTAACGTGCTGGATATTAATCTTTCGCCAACGGGGAAGGAAATACAAGAACATAACTGTGGATATATTTTTTTTCCAAATGGGACAAATATCAAAACTTCCCTTTTCGGTAAATACCTTGTAAGCCACCTGTAATAGATGTGACCTACTCAAAAGTAACTCAGACAGCATCTTTCATGAAAAGTATAAAAAATTGAAAACATGAGTAATTGCCAAGTTTGCATCAACTTCCCGTCTCTTGGAAAAAGATGCATATGACAACAGACCTCAGAGAAATGACTGTAAACAATCCAGGCTACGTTATGGTACGGCGTCTGTTGCGGTTACAGAAGGTTGTAGTACAGTCTCAGTGAGCTAACTGTAAATATGGTGAACTCTGTACTGACGCACACTCCAACTGAAAACCATTCAGAAAAAGAGCTAAAAGAGTACCCTGAGGTCCATGAAATCTGTTTCAAAGTAAAAGACTGAACCCAATTTCATTTCATTTTTCTAACAGAAGGATATGAAATGAATAAATCATCAACTACAAATGTCCAAATACTGCAGGATTTCTGGTATCTTTCATGTAGCAGATGATAAATAATAGTTAGGAGCTGTTCAGACTACAAATAAACAGAGAATACCTCCATGATAATGAGGAACAGTCAGAAAATTAGTACAAAGGATAGTTTTTGAGGAGGACATGGTATTAGTCTTCTGATTTGCATTCTTCCCTGAATGAAACTCCACACATCTATTCTGTGCAAGAATCTCGGCAAGCTTGTTCTAAACACCAGTCACAAGAAGAAGCAACGGAGACGTTTTCCAGCTGACACTCTTCCTTCTCTGACAACCAAAGGTAACTTTTATACAAGATTTTCAGACTCAGCAAAAGTAAGCTATTGCCATGGGTAATCCAGGAATGGAGGCAATATTGCATGGTGTGAAAAAATCTTCTGATACAGAGTAGAGCTGGATTTTAATAATCAAAATGCTAAGCTAGGAAGGATGAATTCAACTGATGAATACAGTTAATCTTCCAATTATAATCTTCCAACAGGATTTCAGGGTCCCTTCCTTTTGAAGTTAATTGAACTTTTTCCACTGACTTCAGCAGAAGAAAGATTAGGATCTCTTAACAAACTCTCTTGATAAATTAATACTTGTGGATTATTTTCATCATTTTAGAGAACATATCTACAGTTAGAAATTTATTCTTGTTTCATGCAAAGTCCACATTTTTAAGCCTGCAATAAACCAGTAAAAAATAGCCACAACTTCAAGACACGTCACCCTGCTGGCATGACATTTACTGGACCCAGGTGACTAGTCAGCACTGGATGAGCTTCTGAATTGCTGGACTTCAGGCTTGTGGGGTCTTTTTTTTGCAGTTTACCTTTGCAAGTGTTTCAACAGCACTTATTCCTCTTACCTAAGTTAATTTAATACCTGTCACTAGTCCTAAATGGATTGATCTATGATCATTTATTTTTCAAACAGCAGTAGATGCTTACCTATACCCGCACAGCTGGTGTGACCTCTGAATCCTGACTTAGAGGTGCTTAGTCCTTAATTGGCCTAAACTTCTATTTCCTGCTGGGAGTTCAGCAAAAGTGACAACTGCCACGCCTCTACTTGACACTCACAGTGCCTGCCTAAACATACCTTAGTCCTTGTCTGGAGGTCATCTCCAGCTTTAACTCAAGCCCCTGGTTGTTCACATTTAATCCATTGTATAGACCTACAACTTGCATGTTTCCTGCAACACACTGTGTGACAGTGTTTTAACACTCACCAGATGACACAACCTTTTAGTTATCAGTTGTCTGTGCTGGATTTCAATGATAATCTGCCCTTTCTCCATTTACAATTTCCTTTGCCCCTTCTCAACTTCTAAGACCTGTATAAAACGTTCATAGACAAAACCTCATTCCTATTTTAGAATCACCAGATACAAAAACAGGGAGAGTTCATCACTTGCAACAGCATGTCAGAAAAGGCTGCACTCTGACAAGAACAGAGTGTGATGAGATACCTACCCACACACTTTGGCTCCTTTGAATCCCACTGTGAGTTTCCCTGGCAGGTGAGTTTGGCGTTTCCTTCTATTTCATAGCCCTCATTGCAGGTCACAAAACATACTGTCTTATAGGAGATATCAGCCGTTGAACAATTAACGTGTCCATTTTCGGGAGCCTGAAGTTTGGGACATGATCGAACTGCAAAGGGAAAAAACCACACCAGTTCACCCTGCAGCACTGAGAATTGGCGGAGTTAACTAGTTTTCAGGGGTGGGACAGGTACTAGCTTGTACACTAGTAACAGTAGTTTGTGCAAGTTAGGGTATAGGGCTGGAACAGGGCTGATTCTTTTCAAAGGCTTGATGCCTTCCTCTTCCTGAAACAGTCTTACATAGAATGCATGAGGTTGGGCACACACTTCCAAGCTCACTTTAGTTCTGATTTAAGTCCAGGCTAGTGAACTATCTGTGCTCAGAAATGTTCCTAGCCATTGAAGGTATCTGGCACAGTGTGTGGCCTGTGTCAGTAATGTCTATCAGCTTTCAAAATGGGACAGCTGCGGGCAAATGGAATCCTGTGGAAAAGTGTGTGTCTTCATAAGTTTCTAATCCCCCAGCCATGCCTGAGAGTTTTTTGGGAGATTTCCAACTAGCAGTCTGGTACGAGCTGAGCGCAAGCCAGGGAAGAGGCTAAGAGCTTATTAAGAGGGCAGATGACAGTGTTCCAGTGCTCAGGAACATTCTCAGGCACTCTGGAGTGTATTGATGCAGACACTGTGAGCCTCCACAAATCAGCGCAGCAGCCATTCGTCATGGTGGAGGGGAGAGAGAAAGGGAGAAGGCATACAAGGCATTCACAGACAGGATCACAAGAGATGAAAAGGAACAAATCAGTCTGTTGCTGAGACAGAAGAGACCCCTTCAGGTGTAGGGCTCCCCATAGAGGCAGTCCTGGCTGCTGCTCAGCACAGAGGCTTTTCTCCTGCCGTGTCTCACAAACACTGCAAGCAGCGTGATGCCAAGGAGAACACAGTCCTGTGCAGGACGCGCGTGCAAAAAGGGAAGAGGGCATGGAGGGTGATCCACAGATTGTCTTATGGTGCTGTTACTGAATCCTGATTCAGTGATTTAACACAAAGCACCACTGTAATCAAGACTGATCCCAAAATAGCTGAACGAAAGTACAAAGTAAAAAGTAGTAGCACTGGTGTGATGTGGTTTTATGTTGTTTCAGTGTCACAACCTCAAGCTCTTCTCTAGGACCTCCTTCCTTTGCACTGCCTCCAGCTCTTCCCCTCTTCAGCCAGCATCTTACACTTCTGCATTTGGCCCCTTGCTTACCTCTGGACAAGACTCTGAGCTACATACTCACGGCTGGCCTTTGGGTCCCCTGAACAGCTAAGCCGTACACACCTACTGTCTAGCCATGACTCTGTGATGATGATACACGTATAACAACCGGCTGATGCCTGCTGGGGGCCTAGCGCACCTTTTCCTTCAAGAATTCATCCTCTCTTCAATAACCAGCTACTGATTTTCCAAAACCAGTGGAAAACTTGTATGGTTGAAAACCCTGCTCACAGCTGAAGCTGGCAGATACTGCTCAGTGTGTTCAATAGTTATTAGGGGGAGAAAAACAAACAAGGGCAAACAGTGTGACTGCTCAAAACCACCATCAAGGTGACTGCAGTTCCCTAAACTCTGTTCTCCCCAGATTGGTTTCCACAGCTTCTGTTGACCTTGCTGGCAGGAAGGCAAGCTCTGGTAACGGGTGGTTTCAGAGATCAGTACGACTTCTCGCTGTGGTTTGGGATGATGATTTTAGCAACTAACCCACCCTCGCTGCTGCCGGGTAGGAGGCAAACCATCAGCTCCTCTCCAAATGCACTTGAAAGTAAGCCAAATTTGCAACTTTCTCTCCTTTTTCCAACAGTTAGTTGTTTATGCTGCACACTGACGAGACAACAGACCCCTACAAGTGATCACATGGCCTGAACTGTACACCCTCAAACTAATGAACGGACAGATACCCTGAGCACTCCTTCAAATGAAGGCCAGCTGCATAAATGCCAATAACTACAAGACCCTCAAGGTTACAAAAACCACACGTTAAGTAATGTCGTTTTTGAAAACAGCTATAGTGGCACCTGAGTGGAAAACAAAAGTCTGCAGCAAAACCTGTGTATATTGGATAGGAAAGAAAGAGAGAAAAAATGCCTTTCAGATGCACTTAGTGTATCTTTGTATTACCACTGTCTCACGTTTACTCTCTGAAAGTACTACCCCTCTTGCGCTTGCATTTACACAGGCACCCTGTAGGAAATGCGTAGTGTAAGAAAGATCTTGAAACTTCCACGTTGCAAGGGGCACTCTGAACTTCACAGCAGCTTCCTAATGTGCTGTATCTTAACTATAGTAGACCAAGAGCCATTTTTACAGCTGAATTACACATGCATCATACAGAAGAGAATAGGCTTTCTCTTTTAGGGTTTCTACGGAAGCCTTTAATACACAGTCTGTGGTAAAAGGAAGCAAATGGTACCAAACTCTACCCCATTACTGAGGACGTCTGAATGAACTGAGAGCATTGAGGAGGCTCTCAGCAACGTTCATGTGCCTACACAAAAGGCACTCCCTTCCGCTACCCGTGGAAGGACTGCATAGCTGCATTGCTCCTTCCTCCTCAGTGTTTCAATGTTCATGCTTACTTAGTGTCTCATTATGGCTCTGGCAGAGACCTGTCACTAACTCCATGTTATCCGGTTATGGTTCCAACCATTAAACACAGAACCATCCTCACGTCAGTAAGGCACCTTCCATGACCACGAAATATTTCCATAAAGCCACTGAAAACAACAACAGTATATTCTGCTTGCTCCGGGTTTTCTCCTAATACATTTTTCTGGATTAAATACACACTTTGTAGTTGATTTTTTTCATGGGTCACTGTTAATTGCATGACACAAACCCATTAAATCACTTTCCAATAGCATGGCGGATTTCAGCTAGCAGAACAACTGTGCAGTGTTTAATGTCAAAATCCAAAGCAGTGCAAAGGGATTTTCGTTCACTCTCCATTCCTAATTTATGTGATAAAATACTCCTGGGATTAAGAAGACAGCTATAAACTGTGCCTTTGATCTTGTTCCCTTTCATAGTCTGAGTGAATCGAGTCTAGCAGATCCAGCATATGTAAAGGTAGGATTTTTTAATATATTTTTTTAATTGGAAGTTTTCAGTGTGATGGAGGATGGCACAAGAAAAGCAAAAATACATCCTTTCAGTGCTTCAAAGGATATTAACTCAGTATCAAGACAGTATCTCAAGGCATACTTTTCTCTGCACCCACCTTCCAGACAAATTCCCTGTTAAAAGATCATGCTCCAACAGTGGGTGAGTATTTTAAATGCTCCAGAAGGTTTTCCAAGTACTAGAATCTTCCACTCCTCTATAGACAGTTGTGCTGGTTTTGGCTGGGATACAGTTAATTTTCTCCACAGTAGCTAGTATGGGGCTGTTTTGGTTTTGTGCTAGAACCAGTGTTGATAAAACAGGGATGTTTTGGGTAAGGCTGAGCAGTGCTTACAAAGAGTCAGGGTCTTCCGTGCTTCTCACCCCACCCCACCAGCCAGTTGGCTGGGGGTGCATGAGAAAATTGCAGGGGACACAGCCAAGACAGCTGACCCCAACCAACCAAAAGGATACTCCACACCATATCACATGCTCAGCATATAAAGCTGGGAGAAGAAAGAAGGCGGGGATGTTGGAAGTTATGGTGTTTGTCTTCCCAAGTCAACATTATGTGTGATGGAGCCCTGTTGATGGGAAGTAGTGAATAAACTCCTTGTTTTGCTTTGCTTGTGTGAATGGCTTTTGCTTTACCTATCAAATTGTCTTTATCTCAACCCACGAGTTCTCTCACTTTTACTCTTCTGATTCTCTCCCCCATCTCGCTGTGAGGGGAATGAGCAAGGGGCTGTGTGGTGCTTAGTTGTCAGCTGGGATAAACCACAACATCAGTGAAGATGAAGGATCTTTTCCTTGTGGCTGACTGCAGCTTTCCACAGGTATTTTGCACTGGAAGCTACTGTGCAACAGAAGCTTAGACAGTCAGGTGCTCTTTCCCAGTATCCCAGTCTATCTGAAGCAGCATACATCTTCAGTCTGTTTTTACTGCTGGAAAGTCAACAGCCCTAAGTCCAGCTTCCTAAGATACTCTAATGGTACTGGGCAGCAATTTATTTTCTATTGAAAGCTCCTCCTTTCTGCCTTCTGTCATGGGATGCTGTAAAGGAAGACAAAGTTTTCCAGGACTATCTGTAAAAGAGTCCTGCAATGTAAGTAGAAATGAATGGCTATTTAAGAATGTTGTGAAGAACTTATCTCTAGCTCATATCCCTCCTTTCAGAACCATAACTTGCTGCTGCTTTAAAGGCTGCAGTGTTTGCTGTAGTGGCATGATGTGCTAATGTCTCCCAGGATCTATCCTGCCTGTTTCCCTGAATTCAAGGGCAAGAGCTACAGAAGCAGCTGATGACTTTTTATTTACTAGCTTCCAGTGCAGCATACTAACGTCAAGTGCATCCAACTCAAGTTAAAAATGTTAAACTACAACCTGTGGCTTTTGAGAAGATTAGAGCTGGTACCTGTTTTATGAGACCCTCTTTGGAAGACATACCAGACAGAACTACATGGGGATGCTGCTCCCCTTCTAAATCAAGAACGCAACGTCAGGCAGGGACAAGTGATAACTAAACAAAATTGTGTTCCTATTTACTTGGAAGTGCTCCAGAAGTAATGTTTTTCAGGATGCTCTTTTCCATGTGTCCTCCCTTTCACACCTTCTGTTTATTTATTTTCCAGCTGACATTTTCTTACAATGAACTTCTAGGATACTGCCAGTTGTTCCCTAGTGAAACTCCACTCAAAGTTCCTCTGAAGACAATGTTCAAGGCTCAAGCTTTCCTATTTTTCGTAAGAAGGCACTGTAAGAAAGCAAAATGGAATTCATCCATGCTTAATGTCTTACAACACCAATGCCCGTCTATGCCAGGAAGCTGGTGGATATTCCAAACCACCCATGTGGCACGGTCTTATTATATACTTGACTACTTCATAGGTTCACTGGATGTACATAAGGTATATACAAAATTCTTAGAAATTATGTTTAGAGAGGTTTAAGGAAGGAGAGTGTAGATTCACTTGCAAAAGACTATCTGCCTAGTAAATGTTACCCTGAATTTTCTATTGCAGACATCCTCCTTCCATTTTAGGAAGGAGGAAGAGTGATTGGAGTGGGAGTTTACCTTTGGAACATTCTTTCACCCAAGAGGTAATAGGACCAGATCTGCATGCCCAACTACGTAGTGAGCAGAGAAGACCACTGTTAAGAATAAACTAATACAACAGAAAAAGACTTTTCAAACACATGACATCCATACCTCTGCAAGTAGCCTCTGATCCAGACCACTGGCCATTTGGCTGGCAAAGACGAATGCTGCTTCCCACAAGATCAAACCCTGCTTTACATCGGATCCCACAGGCAGCATTAAAGTAATTGTTGCAGACATTCTGGATGAAGTAACCATTTTCAGGGGGCTTCAGTTCAGGGCAGTGAACAACTAAATAATGAAAACAAACACGGCAGAGTTATGATGCTAGCTGGAGTGCAATAGGATACTGAAGGAAAACAATTTTTTTCATTTCCAAATCGAGTTGCATCTTGGTACTTACGTTGTTTTGGAATGACACAGAAAACCTTGCATGCAATGTCACCATGCCCTTCAAAGTGCAAACACAAGTAACAAAATTGACCCGGCACTGCATCGTGCATTTCAGGGGTATTACGTTCCCAGATGGAAACACTTACCTTCACAGGTCTGCCCTACAGCATGATACCCCTCCTGGCATGTACAGTCCTCAATGGAGGTACTTCCTGGTGGAGAGGTATGATTCTCATCGGGACATGAGATGCAAGTGCTGATTCCTCCTGGTGAACCTTCAGGCTTGTATGTTCCTGGTGGACAAGCTGTTGAGTAAAAAGAGAACAGGATAGAAAGGAGTTCAGGATATCCACCTTCCACAGCTAGCATAATTTGCCAGGTGTGTTGCCTTATTTTTTTACATGATTTTTTTCTACCTCATACATCTAGTGTCACTTAAGACAGGAACATTCTCCATATGAAGTGCTGTAGAGCTCTTACAGGGGTGAACTAAAGCACACCAAACTTGGTGAAGGTCTCTCCAGTGACTGCCTGGGGACGGATAGTAAGTCGATGATTAATATTCTTGAAAAGAAGGCCACAAGTCCCAGAAGTCCCAGAAGACACACCAGATTTTCACTGACAAAACCTGTGCTGATATCACAAAGACATTCTTGACTTAGAGGAGAAAATCCCTGCCATTCAAAACTACACTTGAAGTTGAATGCATACAGAATCTTAGTAACAAGCTAACACCAGCTAGCAAAACACCCTGCCCTTGATTTACACATTATATCATATATGATCTACATGCTTACTTGCTAAAATGTATGAACCACAAACAATGAAGCAATTAATCAAAGCGACTGTTCTCTGAAGCTTTTGCACTCATTTATATCCCATTTAATATTTTTAACTCTGTGCATCTACATGCACAAGCCTTGAAGAGATTCAGGAGATGTGCTCAGAAATACAGAAAATGCATAGGAAAAAGGCACCTCTCACCTCACAACTTCAGACTGGTTGGACAAGTCTGAGTCTTACCTCCCTGCCTTGAATTCTATTTTTCAGGAAACCACCATAATAATCTTCATTTACTTCACAAGGATGATGTGAGAAACAGGGAGGTGACTAATCAACAAATGCTGATAAAGTGAAATACTGACTGATCAGATTAACACTTGAAACAGAACTCAAAGACACTTGTGCTGAAAAACATACCTCCTGATGTAAAGTTCAGGAAATACTTTGAGAAGGTTATGTAATATTAACACTGAAACCCAGCCAAAAGAGCTCTTGTTTCATTAATTTCACTACAAATTTGTCTACAAATTCTCCTAATGTCCACACTTTCTCTTGCAAACTACAAGTCAGCCTCTCATTTCCTCCCCTCAGCACAGTCACTTTGTACCATCTGATGTAGCTCTGGATGGTATAAAGAACTGTACAACCATAAATACCCCCACGTGCCTTCCTCCTACACACCGGAGTACACACCCACCCAGGCGTGCTCGGCTTCCAGACAAAACCTCTCCTACTGAGGTGTATTTCCCGGAGTTCAGAGATTCTGGCAGTATCAACCTTTGTTTCGATAGATACTGGACCAGCTCTGTTCTGCGAGTTAGGTGCTAAGACACGCTGACTCCTGTCTATTAATGGGAACAACTTCCCACTTTCCAGGCAACTTGAAAAAAACCCCAACCAAATGTACAAAAAAAACAACCAAAAGAAACCCCAGCCAACCTCTTCAAAACATGCCATGGGAGAATGGACTTTCATAAGCCAAATTTTATGGATTATACCTTAAAAATCAACCCATATGGACACCACTACTCTCCAGAAAGAGTTTGGTCTTTTGAACAGATTCCAGAGATAGTATTTTTGTGTGTGTGTGTGTTTTTTTGGTGGTTTGTGGTGTGGGTTTTTTGTTTGTTTTTTTTTTGGGGGGGGGGGAAGGGGCGTTTCCCAGAAAAAATTGCAGTTTTGTTTTAAAGAAAGCAATTGACTGGCTAGCAGCTAAGAGGTGACGTTGGGTGCTGTACATTGGCTTAATACATCTCTGTCTTAAACACACTCTTAAAAAGACAACGAAAATATGTAAGCACTAAAGGATGTAAGTTCAAATCAAAGCATTTCATGAAGGAAAAAGGGTAGAAAAATCCAACCAGAATTAGAGCTGGAAATTTTTCATTTCTGTTTTAGGACTTTCAGTAAAGCATTTGCAAAAAAATCCCTTTCCTATTTGTCACCTGCTCTTTCTATCCAAGACATTCCTCTTGGACTGTTACTGCTTCTTCCCTCTCTTCTGTGCAGAAATCCCCTTCTTGGACACTAGGTCTCTCTGAGACATTCCCTCACGCTTCAGATGATTGCCTCCAAGCTGGCTAAGTATCAGAGGTATTACTCTGAAATACTTCCCTCTGGCTATCTGTGGAAGTTGCTGTGCATCTTTGTTAAAACTAATCGGTATCCAACACAAAGTGATGAAGTGCATCCAAAAGGATGCAGGAAGGAATGCAAGTCAAGCATCACAGGGTACCTGCTGTACGACAAAGCTACCCTCCACGTGCCAGCAAAAATAAACTACTCTTTTCTGTTCTGTGTGGTATATAAAATGACACCTAGAAGAAGTGTTTCATTAAAAAACTCCAATAAAACAAGAAATACCCAACCTAAAGTCTTTCTTTCTTGCAACCTTACCTTAGATGAAGAAGCAGCAGCTCTTTTCTGTTTCTGTTTTGAGAAATTCCGGATAAAAATAATCACGCATTCAATGACGTGGGCATTTTGAACAACAAACCAAATAATTTGCTTAGGGCTTTGAATCAGTCTGACTTTGACAAAAAATGTTACATTCTGAAATTACACTTGCAATTTCCAGTGAAGCAGTAGGAGGTAAGTAATACTGTTAAATGGTTATCAATGTCTCCAGTAGGAAAGACAAGTTTCCCAAAATGTCCTGATTATTTCTGTGTGCTTCAAATGCTTTCCACTGCCGTTCTAAAAAGTTGAATTACATCCTATCTTGGCTTTTTATGTAGAATTTTCTCCAAGACTGAGCCCCTGAACTGGGTCACTGATCTCACATCTCCCTTAGATGTATTCAGCTGCGAAACTCTCCGCAAGCTACATTCAAAATTTCCACAAGACAACACTTGGTTACAGCTTCCAAGTGTGTGAGATCAGACTGACCTCTATACATTTCCACCACAGCCAGAGAGGTTAGCCTGGCCACATCTTAGGTTAAAACCATCCAAAATCAACCATGGAAGAGCAGAGCTTCGGACATCTGCTGTAGACTAGACAGGTATGTATTATCATCTCAATAAAAGATTTAATTACTGCCTATATGTGAACCGTGGTGTTCTTTGCCCAGAAGCAAGTGAAGGGGCAAGCAAATTCTTTTTCTTTAATGTAATTCTCCTCTTGAGACAAGAATAATGAATACTGAGTTACACCAGAGGATTACCTCTTTGTTACAGGAATGAAAGGGTATCTGGAAGCAAGGATTAGTGTATTAACTCTAACAAGCACAGGTCCCAAACTCCCCAAGCACACACAAAGATGTCTCATATTGAAGCTGTCACCAAGAGCAAAATGCTTTCATAAAATGGTACATATTCACCAATGATTCACATTCAAATTCTACTGTCTGTGGTAACGACAGCATAGTAACCTTCTGATCAGAAATGGGAACTGAAAAATGCATGCCTCCTTCATTTTCCTCCTGAGTTATGCTCTCCTAGGGTACACAGCTAACTGAAACAATTAACAAAGACAAGCATGTCTCTTCTGTTTCTGAACACTACAAGGCTTGATGACTTCTCAGGCCACCAATGGAACACACCCTTCTTACTCCTTTATCTATCAAAAAAAAATTAGGTTGTGCACAGAAAAGAAATCACTAGAAAGGAAGTAAGACACAGGTTTGCTAGAAGCAGAGACCCACAGGATCGGCATAAAAACATTTCAGTCCACGCATATGTATTGACAGCGTAACTGTATGTCAAGACATTGCCTGAAGCTGAACAATTGACGTGGAAGTTTAGGAAA